AGTTACTGGAATTTGTCGCGTTACGTGCATGAATATTGCTCTCCATTCATCTTCAATAAATCTAAGTCCTAAATGAGAAAATTACGGTACTTATGATAAAAGTATATTTATATATATATATATACAATACGTACACAGTCATCATGCTTTATATAACATAATTAAGTACGTATTCAGTGCAGAAATGGTGCACCTAAGGCGCACATGAGAATATTAATTGAAATAGCGTTAAAAAATGCATGTGCGAATCTCACAAAATGGGTTTCAATATACAAAGAAAAGATTATAGTACTGGTGTTGCTTTAGACAGGGAGTTTGAACTCACTTGTTTGATAGTTATTAAGTAAAACTTTCTGTAAATGAGCTGACAATTGGGCTTAACAAATCATGCAACACGAATTTATAATATGAAGCGGAAATAAAAAAAATCGTTACCATGATCATGTCGAACATAATTAACTGACTAAAATCTTGAGGAGTGAAATTTGGTCACTTTAGTTCTACGTACGTACTTCGCCCGATCCAACATCAAATTTAAAAACAGATGAGAATATGAATTATTTGTAATTATATTGTATGTACGACTTTTTTACTACGGACATAATTATAGCAGCAACATCTATAAAGATTTTTTTAAATATAATTAATGCTTGAAAAAATGTGCTATTGTAGCACGGATTTATATTACAATATAAATCCGTGATTGTTGTAATGTTTTTTTTTTTTTTTTAAAGAAGCAACGCTTATATCAATGCCAAGGGGCAGGAGGTGATGTGTTCGCACACTTGGTTCAAGCAAGAAAATTGGTTGCAAACTTGACATAATGCCTACCGACTCTTTAATATTTACAACACCCGCACGTATTTTCCAGTAGGTTTTGTTGCTATTTTGAAATTCTTAAATATGCCTATTCCATTAAGCAATGATAATCGGTTTAAGGGCTCAGCTTCAAAACTTCTGATATTACGAAGTTATTGAAGATATAAACTGGTTATGTACATTTTTTTAGATTTGACAAGTGATAGTCCACGGCGATTTAAAAGCTCATTTATTCGTATCTGTAAGTACTGCACTACTGCAAAGGCATTCAGTAGGGCACCGAACAAAAGGCAGAAGAGGCCACAAAAGTCCGGACATGGAGTGGTCACACCAGTAAATGATAACAATTAATAACTAAAGAAAGAAACCCCTAAATGTCAACGCCATTTAAAAACAATTTTTAAAGAAAGTGAAAAAACACAATTGCGTTTATATTTTTTTAAGGAATATCTGTGACTTATCAATATGATCTTCGCTGAATCCTTTGGCAGTTTAATATTTGACTGAAAAAAATTAGTGCAACCATAAATGCGTGAACTACCATACCCTGAAGTGGATTGAGGCATTTCTCACAGGCCGCACTCAGCGTGTAGTTGTTGATGGAGCAACGTCCGACCCAGCACCCGTTATCAGCGGAGTCCCCCAGGGAAGCGTGCTCGGACCCATACTCTTCCTGGTCTTCATCAATGACCTGCCACTTCATGTCACGTCCAAGGCCAGGCTCTTTGCTGACGACTGTGTGGTATACCGGGAAATCGCCACTGAAGAGGACTGCCACATTTTACAGGATGACCTGAAGAAGCTGGCATTGTGGGAGAAACGCTGGGGCATGAGTTTCCACCCAGAGAAATGCAGCATAATCAGGGTCCACAGGAAGAGGAACCCCATCATATACCCGTACTCCTTGAAGGGTCACACACTTGAAATAGACTCGATAACCAAGTACCTCGGAGTCCATATGTCTGGAAACCTCTCCTGGAATCAACATGTTGACAAAATTGTGAAGAAGGGCAACAGTACACTCGGCTTCCTTCGACGCAACCTGCGCATCAGCAATGAACAGGTCAAGAGCACAGCCTACATGACCAGGCCTTGAATATTGCTCCACCATCTGGAACCCTTATAGCAAGGACCTTACACGCAAGCTCGAGATGGTCCAGAGGAATGCTGCAAGATATGTGACGAACCGTTACCACAACACCAGCAGCGTATCCTCCATGATCCAACACTTGGAGTGGGAGACATTAGAGTCACGACGGACCAAAGCCCAGCTGACCATGATGTTCAAGATCACCAATGACCTTGTGGACATACCAGTCAGCGATTATCTCACCCCTGCCCCGAGCCGCACTAGAAGTGACCACTCCAAGAAGTTCCCTCTACCATCCACATCTACATCGTACTACAAGAACTCCTTCTTCCCTCGTACAGCCACAACCTGGAACAGCCTACCTGCCTCCGTTGCAGAGGCCCCTGACTTGGTAGATGTAGATGTACAAGTTTGCAACTAAAATGCGCTTGAACAAGGTATTTTCGTGTATTTGAACTTGGAACATGCAAATTCAAACATTTACACAGCATTGAAAGATACATATTTTGTCTTGTTTGGTGAACTTTGAAACTTACCCGGACTTTCACTTGTCAAATCAGGGTTCGACATTAACGGGATCCCGGGATTCCGAGGATCCCAAAAAGTCGGGAGGAATCTCTGTGATTCCTAGCTGGGGATTCCGTTGGGATCATTGAAAAATTGCTGTGAAATATTTTTAAATTGTCTGACTTAATATCATTGAATCACAAATATTCAAGAAAAGTGTTAAAAAAGACTGGCACAACTGCAAGGTTCAAGAAAGAAAAGAAAAATCCCGCCGGTAAAATCTACGCTCTTGTATCATGTACGCCAGTTTTCCTTTGTGCAGTGACTGCTATCAACTCATTTGCGATATATAATGAAAAATATTTTGGCTAAAGAAACATTCTTGAATAATTTTATATCATGCATTGACTTTATAATATTAAGTTGTAAAATATTCAAAAAAGAAATGTAATTATCGTATAATTATTACACAAGCGGTGTGTACTTCAAATATGTGCTGATCGGCGTTGCCGGCGATAGCTACGAAGTTAACAAGTGTTTGTTGTTGGGGGTTTTTTTTTAGTCCTATAAATATGACGTCGCTTTGAGATATTTTTGCTTCTGGGCTTGACCGACAAAAACTATAACAAGCCTGTAACGTCTAATATATTGGACTAGGTTTTTTTTGTGCCAAAATTCGGTATTTGCACAGATATACATACACCTATATACCTATTAAACTCCATGGTATTTGTGATCATTGTAAATTTTCGTAAAAAATAGTGAAAAAAAAAAGATTACTGATGTATTTTTTTTTCTCCCTGCAGTACAGCAAAAGTATGATTAATAAACAGAATACAAATAATCCATACTTTTCAGTTTAAAATCCTTTTTGAAACTCTACAGCCTATAAATGCTAAAAAATATTGTCTAACTAAAGTCTGAAGTGTACAAAGGTCAATCAAGGTCACGCATAATTTACACAAAAAATAGAAAAATCCTTAGGTGAAACATACACCAAATGACGTATATTTCATCTGACAGTTCTTTCAGCCAATCAGTGTTCTGAACTACATGACTGCTGCATGCGGTGACTGCCTTTGATGTGACAGATGTCAAAACTTTAAAAAAAAAATCAATACACACAGAGAGGAAAAGAATCGGACATTTCAGTGTAAAAATTGAGGACAATAAATTTGGATATTACAAATCCTGTCATGGACTTGGTAAAAATGAAATCATTTGAAGGTACCCTACTTGTAATGCAAACAAAACTTTTTTCTGAGTAAAAAAATTAACAAAATATTTATTTACAACAATCTATGGGATATTTCCTTTTAAACAAAAAAAGTGTACAGTAAGCTGAAAATCACTTATTTTTTTAAAGTGATCATAATTAAACATTACTTTTAAATGACATAATAGTAAATAGTTTCCAAAAGTTATCCATTCCAGAACTCACTGGAATATGGAGCCTAATCATTACCTGTAATTTTTTTTAAAGATCTACAGATCATAAGTGGGCTCTATTTCAGTGAACCCTATCTGGGAAAATGTTTCCCCAGTTCATTTAACTTCAAAAGTTCAAATTGCCCAGTCACTTGCATTATACCTTCATTTACAGAAACTGGTTCACAATTATCAACACCAGGGAGAAAATAGGATTTAGCTAAATTTGTATTTTCAAATCGAACTCTTGTTCAGTGAGCTTATATTGTTATTCTGTTTCCGTGCATGTAAAAATGTATTATGTATTAATTTATCTTAGCGGTCCAATTATATATATATATTAGTAAACACTTTGAAACACTTTTAAAACTTTAAACAGCAATATTTCCAGAGGGCTTATAAACTACATTTTCTGCATCTGAAACAAGGAAATATATATCCTGTATGTTGTCTTAAAAAAAGAATTTGAAATCGGTTTGCTGCACTCCCTTGTTATTCTTCGCCTTCATATTTTACTATTTTGATCTGAGGAATCCCTGACATTTAGGAGGAATCCCTGAATTAAATCTCAGGGATTCCTATGGGATCCCTTGTAAAAACAGTTAGTGTCGAACCCTGCAAATATCAAAAAAAAAAATTGTACAATTTATGTAACATAACCAGTTTATATCTCCAATAACATATAACGTAGTACTACTTCTAAAAGCTGATACCTTAAACCGAGTGTGCCATTATCATTTCTTAAAGAAATAGGCATATATTAAAGAATCCCCAATATAAACAGCATACAAACCCGAAAATACGTGCGGGTGTTGTAAATATTCATGACTCGGTAGCCATTTTTTCAAGTTTGCAACCAATTTTCTCGTGTGCAACCGCTTCACGTGCGTCCGTGATTTACAAAAATAAATAGAGTTAAATAAAACGATGTGGAGTGGAAAGAATTCATGCGAAACTGACAGAAAAAAAAACAAGAAGATAAATTTTATTCCTAGCTAGATCTTCATATATAGATCTACATGATGGTTGTACATACATGTAGACTACGTATTTAAGTTAATACATGTATATTGAATCATATATATATAAATATATTTATTTCAACACAGATCTACATTCAACTCCGTGGTAACCCAATGCCCCCGGATCTGGCTAAAGGCCAAATTTTAGTCTACATTCATGCTGCGACCGTGGGTCGTATGCGTGTGAAAAATCGATTTGCGCTAACAAGACTTCGCAATTTCCTACTTTGTGATAAAAGGTGGTCGACGAACGATCAATAAAACAGCCTCTTTATCAGATGAGACTAAATACATTCTACTACATTCACAAAACTACAAAATGCCTGATTATCAAAAGTAAAGCAAAAAATTAGGCAGACGATAAACTTAGCAGACGACCCTTGCGGTTACATACGTCATATTTGTGTCGGTACCACCCAGAGCATGTACGATTCACGTGGGTCCGTCTGCCCAATCAACTCCAGGGGATTCCCGCATGGAGTGGGTGACGTCAGGGTTTACGATCCATATATGGATTTCCTCTCCCCACCCATTTTTAACCTACTGGGGACGGGACATATTTTTGTGACGGTAAACCACATTTATTTTGAAAAAAGTTGGATGATTTCCTTGTTTCATATTGTGTAGTGGTTTGCTATTCGCGTGAAACGGAATTAGCACGCGCTATTGATTCGGAATCCCCCCGTACTGTAATCTTATTATTCACCCATCCCGTGGGGTCGAGGAAAATATTTCAGCGACCACTTGTTAGCAGAGAGTGGGAAATAGCCAACATATTTTGGTAAGAATTTAGATTTTTTCTGCCAGAAACTATGATTTAAACCATGATATTGTAAGCGGGTTAGAGTTCTAGTTTCACTTTAGGATTCACATGTGTTGTTTTGTTGATAAACACTGTTACAGTTTGACAGTTTTTATGGAGAAATTCGTTTAATTACATAAAAAAAGTTCGTATTGGCCGATAATGTGCCTATATCTCGATACAATGGTATTTTGTGATTTATTTTTATTTTAGAAGATTTTGTGATAGAAATAATCAATTAATGAAAATAAGATTTGTGCACGTAATGTACATGTATGTATACATGTTTCTTGTATATAATGTACTGCAAGGGCGTAGTTGGTGACGAATAGGTAAAGGGGCGTTGTCATCTAAAAAGATAAATTGTTCCCATAGATAAACAATTTATTTGTTATTCTCTTGTTATTGCATTTGTGTTGATGTTTTAAAAAGATCTGCTATTTAAGACTTCTGATTCCATGATTATAAGGTATACTGTAGATATCAATATATTATTAGTTTTAAAGATTTTTTAACAGGTTATATGGTCATATTTGAAAGGTTATTTGTATATATAACCTGAGCTGTTAGGTCATATAACCTGTCAGGAATATTTATAACAAATTTATAATACAGCAAACTTCCTTTTTAGTGAAACAAATAGGAATTCTTTATAAATTGACAGCAGGAGCATGTATATAAAACCATATAAACATTATAATTGTAACTGTTGGCTCTGTGTCAGTGTGTGCCGCTTTTCCTAGTAAACATAAGCTGCCATTCCTAGTAAACATATTAAAAGCTGTCACATTTCCGAAAAAAGTTGATTATTTTTATGTGTAAATATAGAGGATTAAATAATTGGAAGCTTAATTATCAGTATCAGCTGGTTTGTAGCCTTCAAACTGAGTACCCCTGTACAGAACCTCCATGTTAATGTTTTATTACAATATATAGTGCCAGGGAAGTCTTCCTTGATTTATTGTATGTCATTGTTTCAACTCTGAGGTCTCAAAGAGATAGTCTATTCATATCAAATAAGGGTTTATGTTCCCTTTCTAGCACATTGAGTAGTGCTGACAAGGGCTAATTTTCATATCGAACAGGCTAAAACAGTAACTTTTAATCAAAGTAGATTAAGTAAAGCTGCGGTCTCACTTACTCCCGGCAGAGCCCAGGACCATCCCAGTAAGTTACCAGGACGATCCGAGGTGAAATTATTGTTGCGGTCACACTTACCCCGGCAGCACTACGATAGATCCCAACTAACCACCCAGGATGCGCTCCGGATCATCCAGGCAGAGCCCAGGTGAAGCTACGGCTCATGCCAGTGCTTTCCCGGTCATTTCCCGGATGACGCCGGAAGAGCCCCGGCTGACCCAGGCAGAGCCCCGGTAGATTCAGGCAGAGCTCGGCAGAGCCCAGGACGATCCAGGCAGAGCCCCAGTAGAACCCCGGTGGATTGAAAATGCCCGAAAATGATAACATTGATACATAATTTTTATTTAATATAATATCTATTGTTCCAGAATAGTAATTCATGATGATTTTCTGAAAAATCCTTATGCCATACTGGATAGAAGGGAAATGGGAAGGGTTTTAATACAAACAAGTGCAATCATCGCAAATTGTCGTTACTCTTTTGAAATGATCCGGGCTTTGCCGGGGCTCTACCGGGATCAACCGTAGCTCTACCTTTATCCTCGGGGGCTCTGCCTGTAGTTACCGGGGCTCTGCCGGCATATACCAGGGCTCTACCGTAGCTCTACCGGCTATATCATACCCGGTTTGTGCCGGCAGAGCTACGGTGCTATAACCCCGGTCGTTCCCGGCAGAGCTAAGGATGAAGCCGGCAAAGCTAGACCTTCCCGGATCATCCCAGACCACCCCGGTGATATTAAATATTTTATTCCATCCGGGGTCGAATGCCGGATGTTCCTGGATCATCCCGGACGTTGCCGGCAGAGTTACGGATGTACTCCGGTTGTTCCCTGTCATACCCCGGTCGTTCCCGGATCACTACGGACGTCTACCGGGGCTCTGCCGTGGCTTTGCTGGGATGTAAGTGAGACTGTAGCTTTATCAGCTCTAATGAAAAGTGTCTTGAAAGGAAAGGAGACAAAAAGATTTCCTTCCCTTCTCTTCAAAAAAAACCCACAATATTTGAAGTCTGATATGATAGGGCTATGAAAGAAAATCCATTTATTTGATACAAGTAAATTAGAGGGTAATTAATTATCTCACATTATCTTTACCTGGTTGGTCCTCCTTTTCTGAGTTTCTCCTTTGCTGAGTTTCTAAATTTACCTGGTTGGTCCTCCTTTTCTGAGTTTCTAAATTTACCTGGTTGGGCTTTTCTGAGTTTCTAAATTTACCTGGTTGGGCCTCCTTTTCTGAGTTTCTAAGTTTATGTGGTTGGGCCTCCTTTTCTGTGTTGCTAAATTTACCTGGTTTGGCCTCTTTTTCTGAGTTGCTAAATTTACCTGGTTTGGCCTCTTTTTCTGAGTTGCTAGATTTACCTGGTTGGGCATCCTTTGCTGACATTGAATTTACTGGCCCATGAGTAACCCAGCAGGGACTACAGCTCTCATTGAAAACTGCAGATTGATCGATATGTCATTGATTTCCAATAGTTGATTTAATATTAATTCACAATTTGGATTGTCGAGTTGAAAGCCATTTACTCCATGTCTTGAGAAAATATTTATTTTGTCTGAGAGAAGTCTATTAGTCACTTCTGCACTCTGCAGTCTTGGCCAACTTAAAGCCTGATTTTATTTTCAATAAATACCATAAACATATTTTCTTTGTTTATAATTAGCTCACCTGTCACAAAGTGACACAAAGTGACAGGGTGAGCTTTTGTGATCGCTTTTCGTCCGGCGTCCGTCCGTCGTCCGTCCGTCCGTCCGTAAACTTTTACTTTAAATGACATCTCCTCATAAACCACTAAGCCAATTTCATCCAAACTTCACAGGAATGTTCCTTTGGTGGTCACCTTTAAAAATTGTGCAAAGAATTTAATTCCATGCAGAACTCTGGTTGCCATGGCAACCGAAAGAAAAAACTTTAAATATCTTCTTTTAAAAAACCATAAGAGCTAGAGCTTAGATATTTGGCATGAAACATCTTCTAGTGAGTGTCTACCAAGTTTGTTCAAATAAAAGCCCTGGGGTCAAAATTGGCCCCGCCCCGGGGGGTCATTGATTTTCCCTATATACATATAGTAAAAACTTAAAAAATCTTCTTTTAAAAGAACCAAAAGAGCTACAGCTAAGATATTTAGCATGAAACATGTTCTAATGGGTGTCTACCAAGTTTGTTCAAATAAAAGCCCTGGGGTCAAAATTGGCCCCGCCCCGGGGGGTCATTGATTTTCCCTATATGCATATAGTAAAAACTTAAAAAATCTTCTTTTTATAAAGAACCAAAAGAGTTAAAGCTTAGATATTTAGTATGAAACATGTTCTAACAAGTGTCTACCAAGTTTGTTCAAATAAAAGCCCTGGGGTCAAAATTGGCCCCGCCCCGGGGGTCATTGATTTTCCCTATATGCATATAGTAAAAACTTAAAAAATCTTCTTTTAAAGAACCAAAAAAGCTAGAGCTAAGATTTTTAGCATGAAACATGTTCTAATAGGTGTCTACCAAGTTTGTTCAAATAAAAGCCCTGGGGTCAAAATTGGCCCGCCCCGGGGGGTCATTGATTTTCCCTATATGCATATAGTAAAAACTAAAGAAATCTTCTTTTAAAGAACCAAAAGAGCTAGAGCTAAGATATTTAGCATGAAACATGTTCTAATGGGTGTCTACCAAGTTGTTCAAATAAAAGCCCCGGGGTCGCCCCGGGGGGTCATTGATTTTCCCTATATGCATATAGTAAAAACTTAAAAAATCTTCTTTTAAAGAACCAAAAGAGCTACAGCTAAGATTTTTAGCATGAAACATGTTCTAATAGGTGTCTACCAAGTTTGTTCAAATAAAAGCCCTGGGGTCAAAATTGGCCCCGCCCCGGGGGGTCATTGATTTTCCCTATATGCATATAGTAAAAACTTAAAAAATCTTCTTTTTATAAAGAACCAAAAGAGTTATGGCTAAGATATTTAGCATCAAACATGTTCTAATAGGTGTCTACCAAGTTTGTTCAAATAAAAGCCCTGGGGTCAAAATTGGCCCCGCCCCGGGGGTCATTGATTTTCCTTATATGTCTATAGCAAAAACTTAAAAAATCTTCTTTGAAAAAACCCAAATAGCTAGAGTTAAGATATTAAGCATGAAACATCTTTTAGTGAGTGTCTACAAAGTTTGTTCAAATAAAAGACCTGGGGTCAAAATTGGCTCCGCCCCGGGGGTCATTGATTTTCTTTATATGTGTATAGCAAAAACTTTAAAATCTTCTTTGAAAAAACCCAAATAGCTAGAGTTAAGATATTAAGCATGAAACATCTTCTAGTAAGTGTCTACAAAGTTTGTTCAAATAAAAGCCCTGGGGTCAAAACTGGCCCGGCCCCAGGGGTGTCATTGTTTTTAACTATATGTGTATAGTAAAAACTTTAAAAAAAATCTTCTTTCAATAAAGCCCAATGAGCTAGAGCTTAGATGTTTAGCATGAAACATCTTCTTATGGGTGTCTACCGAGTTTGTGCAAATAAAAGCCCTTGGGTTAAATTGGCCCTGCAACGTTGGGGGGGGGTTGGGTGGCCTATATACAGGTGAGCGACCTCAGGGCCATCATGGCCCTCTTGTATAATGTATACAGTAATATAAAGTTTTGATTTATTCAGATTTGAGTTAGTTATTTCCCACAATCCCCTTTCTCAATCTGTCATAAAAAAAATTTTTTTTATACCAATTACGCAATTATTGAAAATTTGGAAGAAGAAAAAGAATGGCTCTTAAAAGAAAAATATCAAATATTTTGACATGGAAGCATCATTTTATGATTTAAATATATTATCCTGTTTATTTTTTTTACAGGCAGTGTACATGTATTTGGAATGACATCAACTCAACCTACAAATGCCTCAGAATGGCAGCTTTACAGAGTTCTACAACGTGCTAATTTATTGCAATATTATGATACATTCGTAGCACAAGGTATGTATGTAATACTGATTTAAAGTGTCCAATTACATTATTTTAGAATAAATGAGCAAATAAACTTTTACTCAAAATAAACAAAATGCTTTCAATAAATTATTTCTTTACTGTTCAGTCTTGAAGTGCTTATAGCGAAAATAAATGGAATAAACCATTCGTTTAATAGTTGGTCAGGCTAGTCGATATTTTTGCATGTAGTGTTTCATGACCTTTTACCTTTAACCTGTATTATCGATATTCCAAATTTTGAAATTTACCAGCAGTATAGTGCCAGGCCAGCCTGCGCATCTTTGCAGCCTGACTAGGCTCTATAATTTTGTCTAACCAACTTTCATCTTGCTGTCCCCAAAATTGAAAGTGATCATTGCCATCAAAAAAGGAGGGAGGACAAGTCCATTTAAGACATTCAGCAGCACTTAAAGCTGGGTTTGAGGAGTTACAAAATTGATGATGAATTTTTGTAATTAGATATTTGTGATGAATTTTTGTAATAAGATATTGAATCCTTTGAAAGTAACAACAGTGAAACAGGATAAATCTATTTACAATAATCAGGGCTGTAATTAAAGCTAACATATTTGTTTATACTGAAGTTATAATATCATTATTATTTAATTTGGTTATTTAAAATCTTTATGTAATTGTATTTAAGCTAAAGATGTTCAGTAGAAGGTGGTTAAAGAAAAAACATGCTATTTTACTTAATAGTATTACCACTTTTAAGTATTGTGGAATTAAGGATCCCATGGCTGAGTGGTTATGGTTGTTTACTTCAAACCACTTACCCTCACTGCTGTGGGTTCAAATCCCAAGGACTGTTGATTCTTTCATCTAATGAAGCTATCAAGCTAGTTTACAGAACATCAGTGGTTTTACTTAGATGCCTTTTGTGCCTGAAATAATGAGGGGCGCCTGAGGTCTTCCTCCACCACCAAAGCTTGAAAATCACCATATGGCCTTTACAGTATTGGTACAAAGTAACCCCCCCATAAACATTGTGGAGATAGAGACACTTTTTTAAGCATTGAAAACAAGCAAAGTTGCCATATTTACAAATAGTTGTCAATGGTTTGTTTTGAAAAAGTGATAATTTGTATTCTATGTCATAGTTAAATGTACACAGTTTTTGTATGGACATTGTATATCTTTAGCAAACACAGTGGTGTCTTTTGTGTGTAATATACCGTTAATTTTGTTTAAAAACAGGGGGAGATGATGTTCAGCAGTTATGTGAGGCTGGGGAGGAAGAGTTTCTGGAGATAATGGCATTAGTGGGGATGGCCAGTAAGCCATTGCATGTTAGGAGACTGCAAAAAGCCTTGCAGGAATGGGTTGCAAATCCAGGTTTGTTTTACATAATTATTTTCTTAAATACTGTTACTTGCATGTATTTTCATATGTGTATTTTGTTCCTTGATGATGGGATTTGGGCATATACAGGACTTTTGACTGAAGATTGTGCCCAGACTCTGACAGGCAGAAAGTTGACAGGAACAATGGTCCTTAATCTTTGCAAATACATTGCTTGTAAACATGGTAATGTATACCTTGCACCAGCTTTCTACCCTCGCCCAACTTTGTATACTATTTATATGTGCAACATCTAATTTAGTGTTCCAATATGGTTCTTGTATTCAAAAAGTTTGTATAATGTAATAGCCATGCATGTAAGTCTTTTGCTAAGTTTTGACATTAATTAGTAAATACGTCAGATGCTTGTACATAGGTGCTGCCTGATTTTATCAAGTTTTTAGACATTTGGAATCTTTGGCTTAGTTTTGATTCATTGTGGCACATGTATTAATCTTTATGTTTATAATTATAAAAACCAAGAAGATTTTATTGGCAATATCCACACCAGTTTGAAGTTAACTTTTTTTGAAATTTCACATCATTCAAATTAGCAATTTATCATATTGTACTTGTCTTCTTATTTTTACAGCTGCATTTCAAGGTACAGGCAACACATCCACAAGCTCTGTAGTGAGGGAGCCCCCAACACATGTTTACTCTTTACCCAGCACATCCACAGAGGGGACTCAGTCCCCATCATTAAATTGGAATATCCAGACCACCCCGCAGAAAAGTGTTAGCCCAGTCAGTATGATTCCATCTTCCAGACCTGTTGATCTACACACTGACCTACTACAAGGACAGGTAATTTGATGTTCATATTGCCTATATAATATAGCCAAGTGGTAGAGTATCCACTTTTATTTTCAGGAACAAAGCATGATTTAAATTTATATGTGTGCTGAATTCTATGAGGAGGTAAGGAGGCCACAAAATGGTCCATTGAAAGCTATGCTGCTGAGCTTTAGTGTGTTATTACTAAAGAGATGGATTCAACCATAAAAAATTAATGGTCGTTGTTTTTTTTTTTCTGCCACAGCTTAATCAAAAACAATGCTATGTTATTAAGCGGTTATTTGGTTTCGTTAAGACAAAACTTAAAAGAACAAAAGAACAATGTATTTTCAAACTTTCAGGAAAATATTTCCATCCAAAATATATACTCAGTCAATACTGAAAAAGTGGTTTGTTGGCTCAGTTTGTCTCTTAATGCACACTGAAAGATGCAATCTAATTTAAAGATTTACTATGCTTATATTTAAGTAAAATATTTTTATTACAGAAATTTATTGAAATCCATGAAATCCTTACTGTAAATGTTTAAGTTGAATAAAAAAAATGTACACTGTACATACTAGTATGTATGGGTATTCCCGATTAAAGGTCAAATGCAGTTGGTCTTTTCTTTAAAAAAAACCTGCCAATTTTGTTCATGACACAATATATTCTTATAGAGTGTAGAGTTTCAAATATAACACATCTACTTTGAATGAAGTGGAAACATGTTCAGTTTATATTTTTAAAGAGACTGATTAGTAATTATCAATATTTTCAGCAATAAATTTGAGCATAGTTTATCTTTAACTGAACAAATAACTATTTATACACAGTCATTTCACCTGTCAAGATGTCTTTAAGTTTGTAATACTGCACAAACACTCCTATGGATTGAAATGAAATTTTTTTACATGAACATCCATTTGAAGAAGCTGTGTGTATAGATAATATAAACTAAGTGATTGCCCAATGAAAATGTATGTTACCAAGATGAAAATGTATGTTACAAAGATGCAGTATTATAAATGAGAATATCTTATATGTGTATTAAATTGTGATATAGGAATTTATCTGTCCATCTTTCTTATGTGTTATTTTTTACAGATGAAGAAGCAGGGGGTGTCACCGATTCAAGCCGCGCCATACCTCGGGGAAGACCAGATAAGTGAAATAGCCAACTGTGCTGCTAAACTTGTCAAAAATCTCCCAGTTTTTGAAGCCAAACCCCTTAACACAAAGAAAGAAATCAACAAACAGATCTATGTAAGTATTAATAATTTTGTTGATGATTTTTGTAAAATTTGATAAAAGGTGGATCAAAATATTGATATTCTCAGACAGAAAAATTTAGAGAACTCTAAAAAGTTACTATTCTTCAAAAGTTCTGCTTGTGTTAGAGACAATCATCAGAAAAAGACTGACTCTTTTAATGTTGTACTTTGTAAAATCTGATTGGAAATTTTCAAATAATTAAACTTATGGACAACCTAGCTGGTGATACAAAATGTACTTCTTTACTATCTGGCAAGTATATTTAAGGAAAGTGGTTCAATCCAGGTGCCTGCTGCAGCTGAAATAATGCATGGACGAGGTCTTATTTCACAAATGTCATTAACAAGTTTTTAAGATGGGACAGACCACTGTAGGTTCGAACCCTACAGGTACTTTGGATTCATTCACATGATGAAGCTATCCCGCTAGCTTATTCGAAGGTCTGGTGGTACCTGCTCACACTTGAAATAATGCTCAGATTATCACCCTGAGATTACCATATCACCTTTAACAGTGTCAGTTTGATTTAAAACCCGAACAAACATTACAAATTGTCTTGGTAAGCTAGGTGTCATTTAACCTTGACATTGTTGATGTTACTTAGAATCCTACTCAAACATCAACAACCTTGCAGTGTAAACATATGTTTAATTTTATTTTGCATACAATTAAATAGTACTTATGTTTGTTGTTTCTCATAGAATCATGCCGGAATATTTATGCATGAAATCAGCTTAGTGTTTCTGTGTTACAGGATATAATAGCTCTTCCAATAGATTTTTCCAAGGAAAGGTTAGAGCTGATGAGAAAATATGCTGCTATTTATAGACGCTTTGATTCCGAGAGAATCTACTCAAAGCCTATGTCAATGCATGAGGTATGTATATAAATGTTACAGTATAGGTGGTTTACCCTTACCATGCTTTATATCTAAAGTGGACTTGTCCATTTGTCATTCTGGACAAAACCATTCATCATTTGTAGGGACAATTTCATAATAAGTACTTGCAGAGTAGCAAACAATGCAGACATTGATCAGCCGGCATGATCTTGGTCTGCATTATTACCATAAGAAGAATCTGGATGGCCAGCAGACCAAGGGTTGATTTTTGTATCACTAGCTTTTCACCTAAAATTTAATGTGGTTTAAATCTTTCCTACTTGGAGTGGTTATGTGTGAAAGCTGACCATTTTGGTTTGGGAAGATCAGTTCTACCTTGGGCCGACTGTTGCCAGTCCCGCTTAGGGAGGAGTTGATAATGCCTATCAAGTGAAATGTATTAGGATTAATGATAACTGTGCCAGAGGACCAATTCTTTGGCTCATTGGGACATAGCATTGCGTTTATTTCCTTGCTAGTGAGTTGTTGTATGTTCAATTCCCACACAGGAGGACAACAGTGGGCATGATAGAGGTTGCCTCTAACTCTAAGATATTTATTAAGCCAATTTTCCATAAAATTTCATGCAGTAAGCTTCCTTATTTGAAATTGTAGCCAGTTCCAAATTAAAGTTCTTATGAGCTAAATTTATGATAGGCTTCTCCCAGAGATAGCAAAAGGTCTTTTACAGCTTCATTTACATGTTTGTGTTACAAATGTTAAATGTTCATAAGAAGGGTCATATTCTTTCAAGGTTCACAATGTCAGGCAGCTTCTAGTCAGTTGTAGATTATATGTTCACCATAAATGATCATTAGAATAGATATAGATATTCACTTAAAACAGATTATTCTGCTTTTTCAAACTTATTGTTGGACAAGTTTTCTACAGTTGTTTTATTATGCAAAGTATGTCCTGAATACTGGGACTGCAGGACTAATTTTCTTTTGTAGTTTTAATGCGCAAATATTGTCTGTCTGTCTGTCTTTGAACTGTAACATATAACATTTACAGGTGTGTGTAAATGAGGCATCAGCCCAGCTTTGTTTTCATATGCCGACATTGCTTACAAGACGAGAAGATTTATTTCCCCTGGCAAGACAGGTGGTGAAAGATAGCGGATATCAGTATTCCAAAGGACATTCCAGGTTGGAGCAAAAGTATTGTATAAGATTCTACAGTAACATCAGCATGTTTATACATGTGCATGTATTATACTTGTTATTTTGTGTAATAAAATTGACCAGCTTTTAATTTGGAATTGTCCATTTCAACAATTAAATTGACCTGCCAACAGTATAGGGTATGGGAAAACTTGTCATTTAGATATGCAGGCTTTCCTTGCTGTAACAAATAATTATCTCTGTTAGCCAAGATTGGTACCATCTCTGTTAGCCAAGATTAGCAAGGTAGTCCGTCACCAACTGGGAAAACCCAGGCATTTTTAGGGCTAGGCAACAACTGTGCAATGCTACATGATTATAGGTAGTAAGTTTGAGAACTTTGTTTATTAAAACTGAAAAAAAAGACATTTATTTACTGCTGAAAATAAATATGAAACTTTCTAAATCTTATGACCACATTTTTACAACTCAATATTTTATCTAAGAATGTAATAGTAGGTATGATACTGCAGGTATAAAATCAGTTTATGTATGAAGGTGAAATTCCTCTAACAGTAGGGTTATTTTCTCATTTTGAGAATCATTAAGGGAAGCCTAGTGGTTCAAGTGTCTCTACCCAGGGATTATCAGTTCAAGCTCTTATCAGGTCAACCATGTTTCTTCATATGACACCAGTACTGGTTGGTTCCAGGAAGCAGACTTGAAAGTGATTAATATAAGTTGCAGAAATTTGTTTCATAGTCAAGTTTAGATAAATATGTTTAAACCAACTACAGTCAAAGGACATAACTATTCGCCACTTTCAAAATGGCGGCCAATAACGCGATCTTAAGCAACAAAAAGGAGACGGTCATTATTGGATCATAAGTAATCATCTTACCTTAATATTTTGTCACATTTCCTTTCATTCTTATTACTTCTTTAATTCTATGTGGAATTGTTCTATAAAGACCTTGTATACGCTGTAGAGATATATTTTCCGATATATGTGAAATTTCGGCAATCAGCTGTTTGCGCTTATTTATGTAACTTACCCAGTGTTTCAATCGTCGTTTGATGTGTAAACAAAGATTTTCTATTATATTTAAGTCAGGAGAATATGCTGGCCATGATGTTGTAGTTACATCATTTTCTGTTAAATAATCTTTAACTTACCGGCTCTATGAACGGGGGCATTGTCATCTTAGAACACATAGTCATTATTTCCAAAATGCCTTGCAATAACTGGCCATAAATTATTGTCTAACACATCTAAATATTTCTGTGCATTTATATTACCCTCAACAGCAGTCAAAGTTCCGATACCCCCAAAGCATACACATCCCCAGACCATAACACTAAGCTTAGCCCTGGGAGCGGGACAAACTAAGTGAGGTTTATATTTTTCGTCGTCTTTCCTCCAAATAAAAATGTTGTTATTTTTCCCTGATGACCACCTGACTTTCATCACTAAGTATCCTCTTACTCCAGTGTTCTTCCACAGTCCAATGTTTTCTTTCATTACACCATTCTACACGATTTTTTCGACTACCCCTCCAACAACCATCCTCTTCTGAACAGCCCTCCTTTTATACCCCAACTGGTGAATTTTTCTTTCAATAGTTTTATCACAAAAAGTTTTATCCGTACCTGTATTCATCATATCCGTATCATCTCTCAAAGTCCTTTTCCTTTTACATTTTATAATCCGTGAAAGTTTTGTTCTGTCTCGTTCCGTAAATAATTTTTTCCTACCCCTCCCACTACATTTTCAACACTTCCATACTATTGATATTTCTTTATTACACTTTTAATTGTTGATCTAGGAATACCCAGTAATCTTGACAATTCTGACTGATTTTTATTCTCCTTATAACCATTTATAATCAATTCTCGTACAGCCCTACTTAATTCTTTTGTTTTCGGGGCCATTTTTAAAAACGCCTATGAAATAAACTTTTAAACAATGCAGACGAATTATTGAGCTGTATATTATGTCACCAAAGACTGATTGAACTTTGGCCCAGTTTACATGAATAATACTATCGGCTATTTATAGGACACATCTTAAATTCTAAGGATACATGTATATAGTGTGTAGCGCGAACAAGATTAAAAAGGTTGATTATTATAAATTATTTATATATGACTTACTGTTGAAGATTGCCTGAAAATAAAGATTTGCACTGCAGTTTGTATTATGGCCTTTTTTTATAAGCAATAAAAACTGATTGACTGTATCTTATTATCTTATTAAGCAATAAATTGAAACTTAGATGAAGTAGTATTTGTCAAAGAGGAAAAAGGTTTGATACTATCTATTGAAATTTTGAAAAAATTAAAATTCAAGCATTAGTTAAGTTGAAATCTAATTATCTTGGAATAAAAACAAATGAGATCAACAATATTTTTAATTTCCAATAGAGCAACAGACCTCAACCCTGAAAATCCAAGCAAGCGTCAGAAATTGGAAGCTTTAATATCTGATAGTAAAGGGGACCAGTCTTTAGAGAAAGCCAAGAGAGATGTAAGTAGTACATGTTCTTCTATTATATACACATGTATGAGTTTAGATTCTTGTACAGAAACTTTCAAGCTAGATTGGGGAAAGTTGATAGTTCTACTCCGGTGCCCCCTCTTGTCTGATATAATGTTTGGAGGTGCCCTTGACAATTCTTCCAACAATATAGTTGGTTTATTATAATAAATTATTTATATATGACTTACTGTTGAAGATTGCCTGAAAATAAAGATATGCACTGCAGTTTGTATTATGGCCTTTTTTATAAGCAATAAAAACTGTTAAGGTCATCCTTTTGGATTTCTAGAAAACTTAAAACTTAAAGAGTTGAACAAGCTTTAATGATATCATTTGCTATATTAATGTAGGAGAGATTACAACAAATCAGTCAGGAGTTAGCAATGATATCAGAGAAGCAGGAACAGATAGTGACAGACCTGGAAACAGCCAAGGAAAGCCAGGATATGGATAAGGTAGACACTCTACAGTCACAGCTAGAACAGATCACAAATAAACATCTACAACTTCTCACTGAGCAGAGTGATCTACTCAGAAAGCAAAGGTGAGGTCTAATTCTTTGTTTTTGTAATGTAGTCCCTCGTTATTACTTAGACACTTTCACTTACCTCACATAGATAAAATTTAGATATGTCATAAGTTCTGCCTAGAACCCACAATGATTTAGTTTTACAAAAAACAACAACAACATGGAATTCCTTTCTTCTACAAGTAGGATATATCTGATTGAAACTGGTCACTTGTGATTCATTCTGTTTTTTTTATAGATACAATGTTTAGGAAATAGATATCGATTTTGAGTGCATTGTTGCGGAATAATGCAAGGTTTAAGTTGAAATGCACAGGAATTTAATCATGAAGGCCGATAGTTCTGAGTGATAAATTACAAAGCATTTGAACAATAAACCATGCATTATTATACTATAATGTAAGACAAATTAATATTTACAATCCAACCTCGATTATTCAAATTGCTTGGGACTGAAAATTTACTTTGAATAATAGATGGGTTCGAATAATCAAAGTCCGAATATAGTGATAGACGACAACTATTCAACTTTAGTCATACGCCAATTATAGCAAAAGTACCGTTTACAACATACTTGTTTCCATTAATCAATCGAGAAAATTAAATAGCAAAAATGAATTTTTATCGGTACTGAAGACATAAATACTTGCATTTTATACCTGGCACATTATGTAGCACATAAGGATACGGTACATGAAAATTATCGCTGTCATCTTCAAGCATTAACAGTAACATCATTGGACAAGGTACAAAATTTTATTCATAGACAAGATACATATAATTATAATATATAATAAGGATATATTGTGCTATGGACATAATGCACCAATTTGAAATGAAAAAAGGATTTTGTCATTATTCATATAGAAATATATGTTAGTGTGTGCTTGTTTATTTATTGCTTTACTTAAATTGTATACTTTCATCTTTTTATTAAAATTAATAGATTGATTACTTTTAACCGTCCAATTATTGCATACAAATAATTTTTGGTAATTAAGGTATTGGCACCCTAATGCATTACCTCCACTTTGAAGAGTATTCAAATAGGCTAGAACTACTGTTAACTACATTGAAAATGAGGGGCCGTGGGTTCAATCCCCTGAAGGTCAACTTTTTTTTTTCTTTCTTTTTTTCTTTTAACATTTTTTATGTATCTCTCATGTCCCATTTGGAAAGAAAAAATTGTTTAATTTAGATTTTTTAATTTATTTAGGTATTTATTGGCTAAATTATGCTAAATCTAGTAATAAATAATGTACCTGATATTTCCAAAGTGTAATAAAATCAAAACTATACGGTAAAAGTATTTCATATTTTACAAGATCAACCAATATACCTTTTTTAAAAATTTAGGGAAACTTTGAAAACAGGCACTCATTTGGGTAAATTTTAAGATTTTTTTAAATTAGGCTTCCTAAGTAGAAAAATGGTCAGACATGTGGTAAAAATGGGTGGGGTAGGGTAACATTTTTATACAGATTTCATAAATTTTAAGTAGTAACCATAATTTTGCTTATGTGGATTGTTAGCTGAATGGTACTATTTGTTTCTTACCAAAAATTAATGGGAAAACATTTTTCATTAGAATGTTATTATGCTCCCCGAAAAATTTCGGGGGAGCATATAGTCGGCGCCTTGTCCGTCTGTCCGTCCGTCCGTCTGTCCGTCCGTTTTCTTGTCCGGAGCATAACTTGAAAACCCTTGGAGATAATTTGTTTAAACTTCATACAGTGGTAGAGGGCATTGAGGGGGAGTGCAGTGTCAAAGAACCATAACTCTATTTTGCCCGGTTTTTGAATTATCTCCCCTTATAGAAAAATCTTGTCCGGGGCATAACTCGAAAACTATAAGAGATATCAACATGAAACTTTGTAGGTGAATAGATCTCAATGGGTAGATGTGCAGTGCATAAGACCAATAACTCTTTTTGTCCTGATTTTGGAGTTATTGCCCTTTGTTAATTTCAACATTTTGAACTTTGTCCGGAACATAACTCTAAAACTATAATAGATATCAAGATGAAACATTGTAAGTAGATAGATCTCATTGAGTAGAAGTGCAGTGCAAAAGAACCATAACTCTGTTAAGCCTCATTGTTGAATTATCTCCCCTTATAGAAAAATCTTGTCCGGGGCATAACTCGAAAACTATAACAGATATCAATATGAAACTTTGTAGGTGAATAGATCTCAATGGGTAGATGTGCAGTGCATAAGAACAATAACTCTTTTTGTCCTAATTTTGGAGTTATTGCCCTTTGTTAATTTTAACACTGAACTTTGTCCGGAACATAACTCTAAAATTATAAGAGATATCAAGATGAAACATTGTAGGTAGATAGATCTCATTGAGTAGAAGTGCAGTGCAAAAAAACCATAACTCTGTTAAGCCTCATTGTTGAATTATCTCCCCTTTTAGAAAAATCTTGTACTGGACATAGCTGTAAAACTATAAGAGATATCAACAGGAAACTTTGTATGTAGATGTATCTCAATGGGTAGATGTGCAGTACACGAGAATCATAACTCTGCCTTGCCTAATTCTGGAGTTATTGCCATTTGTTTATTTTTACTTTTTGAATTTGTCAGGAACATAACTCGGAAACCATAAGAGATATCAACAAGAAACTTTGTAAGTTGATAGATAACAGTGATTAGAAGTGCAGTGGAAAGAACAGTAACTCTGCCTTTCCTAATTTTGGAATTATTGCCTTTGAACTTTTTCCAGGGACATAACTCTGAAACTACAAGAGGTGTACTTTCCTGTGTCAAAAACCTATTCGGGGAGCATCACCCGGCTCAAACCGGGCTTACTTGTTGCAGATTATTTAAAGGTTTCCGCATTTCTAAAAAAGGGCCCTCATAACATCCTAGCATGAGTTCAGAAAAGTGGCCATAACTTGATTTCGGTACGGTAAACTTTGTTTAAATTTTGCATACAGGTGTACTTTAAGGTATACATCTGACCTATGATGTCAATTTTTTAGTTTCTGATAGTGCCCATTAGGGTCCTAATACCTTAAGTTAACTTCAAAACAGGCATAATTATCACGATTGTCAAATACACTCATGGTTGTTAAAAAATTTTCACATGTTTTGACGGTCAGCGAGTGGATCAGCGGCAGTTAGTCTTGCTTCGAATAAAAGCTGTGAAATTCTGTCATAATTGTATAGTCGGCACCAAATTTTTACTTCGGAAAATGGGAGGTATTCGGTTAATGCATTTCGAATAATACCTTCATATTTATATTGAATTATATGAAGATGAAATTGGGACTGCTGATCAACTTCGGATAATGCCGGATATTCGAATAAAGGGTTGTCGAATAACCAGGTTCGGACTGTATTTACATTCTAATATGCTTATAAAAAAGAGGATTGATAAAAGTATGTTTAAAGGAACTCCACTGAGGTTCATAAGCCTAAAAACATAAAATTTTAATTTCTCACATAGATCAACTGGTGCACATTAAACAGAAATATATACAAAAGATAATTAAAAAATATACCTAGAAATACACTGAAAATGGTATGTTTGTGTTATTCTCAGTCCAATTTGAGTGAAAAGCTTTTAAAGGCTTTTCAATTTTAGGTCATTTTTGACAATTAAAACAAGTATTCTGGAAAAACAAAACAGGCTAATGATCTGAAATTTTGCACACATATTGTCGGTATAGACCTACATCAGATGGAGTAATAATCTCAAAAATATATTTCCAGTCCCTTCATGTCAAAAAACCTCAGTGGAGTCCCTCTAACTATGTTGAGTGTAGAATAAATTTTCCTGATGTCATTTGGTTTATTGATGTCAAATATGTCGTCATATGATGTGCAAGTATTTTTTTTGTGCTGTGCATATATCGTGTTACTATGCGCTTGATTGCCCTATCTATTTGATAGGGGAATAGTGTGAAGCCTGTAAGAATAATGGTTTTAGCAGATATACTAAGAATTGAAGACAGATGTAGTATAATTTTCTATCTGCATTAATTACCTGGTGGGGCTCTCCAAAAATTTTGATCAAAATAATGTCATGACTGTTCTCTATTTGTTAAAAAAATTTTAGCTGTTCCCTTTGCATAGAAATCTATTACAGTATTGGCATATTTTTGTTTAATGAATTGCTTGGTGGTATGGTTTATTGTATATGCAGGAGTTTAAGGTGTACCAATGAGCCAAAACAGGAAATATGATTTTGGCAAACCTTAGGTGTTGCATGCTTCATAGTAACATCAGGATTCAAAACCAACTCAAATGCTGGAGCCAAGAAATGCAAATTTTGAACCCATTTAGTCGCCTCTTACTATCATGCAGGGTTAAACAGTGGCTGCAATTCTGATACATTAAGGCTTTCAGGCAAAGCCCCAGCCACAAATCACATATATTATTTAGTATCTTTTGATACCACCTACAAATTGTCATGCTTGTTTGTTTTTTTTTATTATTGCCCCCTGTTACTACTATACACATAGAAATCTAAAAAAATTATTCTCTTCATATGCCAATAAACAATCGAATTGAATAATAATAATAAAAAAAATCTATTATTATTTCAGCTTTGAAGTTTATATTGACTTCGACGCAAGCTCAGATCGTGATGGTGAGTGGATATTTTATTGTAGATCATTGTCTCAATATATATTTGAGCCGCGTCACGACAAAACCAACATAGTTCGTTTGCGACCAGCATGGATCCAGACCAGCCTGCGCATCTGGGCAGTCTGATCAGGATCCATGCTGTTCGCTATCAGTTTCACTACTTGTAATAGAGTTGGTAAGCGAAAACAGCATGGATCCTGATCAGACTGCGCGGGTCTGGATCCATGCTGGTCGCAAACTCACTATGTTGGTTTTGTCGTGATGCGGCTCATATATATATTGTTGTCTTTAAAGCTGCATTTTATAAATGTGTCAAAATATTTTGCAACCAGCCTAAAAACTAATATAGTTCCAATAATCTTTTTCATAACAGCGTAGTTGTAAATCTGATCAAATATTGCTTTGAAATAATTATTTTAAAAGGAAAACCTGACCGTAAAACTGAAGTTTAAATACAATTTTTTAATACTTAGGAATACTATTAATTGCTTGTGCATGTAAACAGGAAATCGAGACATCACATTATTTGTAACATGGGATCTGCAGGATTTACCCCTCTAATCTGAGTTTGCTTTGACTAAATTTTACGGCTATAGTTTCATGATGCACTAGGCCTACTGTTCACAATAGATTAATCTTCCTGACTTTGTTGATTTTCTGTTGATGTTTGAATCACCCAATTTTGAAGTGGAAATTGTACTTTCGATTTTTGCCACCTGGAGGTTGTAGATTTATACACTTATGAAACTCATTGTGGTAGCTCAAATAAGCTGGACTCCAGAATAAGACCTAAAGTCTATGGTCAACTCATTTTATTAATAATTGTAGCCTTTTCTGTTTTTATGAGATTAATACAATGCAGCTTTAATTGATTGAATTTGCTATTTGGATGATTGAATATGGTACAATACAATATCGTACAAATCAGATAGCCTCGTGTTTCGGTGCTCTTTCTATTACTAATACAAATTTGGATATTTGGATAAAGGGCGCTTCCTTTCAAGCACATATTACAACAAAATAACATGACATTTGCAGACTCAGTTTGATTAACTTTTTACCCTATGAGCATATTGTGAAAAATGGCCGTTTTCATTGAAAAGCCTCCTGTTACAAGTTCAAACTGCTATGAAAAATGCTTCAATACTGATGAAACTTGGCACAAATGTTGACTGGACCGTAGCCTCTGTAACAGCATGCTCAATCGTAACTTTCCTGTTATCATGGTAATGGGGGTGGGGGGGGGACGTCTCAAAATTGTCAAAAATCACTATTTTGCATTTGTTTTTTTCCATCAAAACTGATTTTAAAGTGCTGCAACTTCTCAATGAATTGAGATAGAGTAAAAGGCTTTTCAGCGTCGGATACTAGTTTCCCTAAGATCGACCTGAGGCCATTTTTAACCTGTCACATGTCCAAACAGAAAGGGGAACATCCCCCTTCTGGCAACCCCCTGATGTACCATTTTGATGGGGGGGGCTGCGCCAAAAAGTGGTCACTTTTTTTAAACAACATTTCTCAAACGAAACAGTGTTTGGAGCCTAAATAGGGCATTTTTTCACTGTTTGGGTTGAAAAGGGGGGGGGGGGGAAGCTGTCGTAACAGCTGTAAAAAGATAATGAAAAGTGCAACATCCTTCATGCCCCTAGCACTGTCTTGAGCGATACTCAATTTTCAATACAATATAATTAAATACAATAGAAAAAAATATATATATATACAATTTCTGTATTTGAAACTTGCAAAGCAGCCAGCATACAATACAAATAATACTGCATGGAACATCAGATGCCTTAGTTTTTAGAACATAATCGTAAATTATATAACATTTTATAACATAAAAAAAACAAAAAACAAAACAACAAAAACATCAGATGAATTATATAAAAGTATTGATTAAGAGACTGACGCTGTCTGACCCAGACATTGTATTTTATTATAATTCAATTTTGTTATGTCAGAGAATTTACTTAGGAACTGATTTCATGATACTATATGTCATTGACATCTGTCTAATGTTTGCTATTATGAATTGCATCATCTGAAAAACTTTTGAAGTGATAACAGATTTTATTGGCATCCTTGTAAATCATTTATATAAAGTGAGCTTATTTCCACTTCCTTTCCTTAAGTGGAAAAAAAAATGTATGTTGATAAATCAACAGTACATGTAGTTATAATGGTTATTTTAGCTTCAGTATTTACATGGGTGCAAGTTTTCAGGCATATGCCTGAAACTCAGGTTTTTTGTGACAAATTTCATCATGTTTTACTATTAGATTATGTAGGAAAATGATTATGAAGTACAGTTTTGTGTTTTTTTTCCAAATTTTCAAATTGCTTCCATGTATTTAATTTGGTAAAGGTTGTGTTGATGATTTCAGACTCAAACCTAGGTGCTAGTGGCTCCTCGTCCCCAGCGCAGACAGATCGCACAGAATCCACCCAGCAACACCTCACCCTGAAAAGTATGCTCACAACGGGACTCATGCCAAAGTCTTCTTTCAATCAACTGACCTCAGCTGGCGGCCCTTCAAAAAACACGCTGTTTGATGAAGGTCTGCGCTTCGCCCAGCAGTATGGACTGGGCGATTTTGCCCAGGAACTGAAAACATTACAAGGCTCGCCGGAGGAGAGCGAGGGGCAGTCTGACTTAATTTCTAGTTTATTCTCTAGTGGGCTGTTACGTGCAAATAAAAATGGTGCAACAAATGGGGACAGAGTAAGCCCGAAGCCTTCAGAAGAGGCAAGCAATGGTGAAAAAAGTCCGGCTAAAGAATCGCCCAAGAGTATAAAAGAAGAAGTTGACAATGTAAATGGTGTATAACACTATTTTCAGTATTAGATATGTAGCTGTCTCTATATATATATCAGAAAATGGAGATATTTAATGAGCTTAAATAAGGTCATTAGGTCTTATATAAGAAATATCAATTTCAAGATATGAAAAATCTGTTTCAAAGATGAAATGTACATATATGAAGTAATGTATATATGTGAAGCAGATGGTTCTATATTATTAGTTTAAACTTAAAGTTAAAACTGTATTTATTAAGATTTTTGCAAACAAATAATCAATTAAACAAATCAGATATTGATGGTCAATATTAATTGATGTGATTAAGTAATGTGATTAAGAGAAATGTTGTAGTCATCTTTAGTATAAAGTGCTCAGAGGGTAAGCTTTTGTGATCACATGATGTTATCAAAATACTTCATCCATACATTTATTATAAACAATCCTGTACTGTTTAGCTTTAAATTTCGAAAGTCATCTTATTGTTGAAATTGTCTAGTTACAATGAATGGAAGCAATTATTAAAGGGGTTGGCAGTAGGGTTGTCATTGAATATTGCAATATCATCCATATTTATCATCCCATACAATATCGATACACACCTTCAAATATCAATACAAGTTAAAGTAAGCAAATATTAAGAGGATATTTTTGCATTTGCGTGAAATATGGAATATATTTTCACGAAACATGATAAAATGCCACATATTTTCATGAGCCGGTACGGCGAGTGAAAATATGTGGCATTTTATCATGTTGAGTGAAAATATATACCATATTTCACGAAAAACGAAAAAATAACCTTTTTATTTAATTTCATTATCAAAGAAAATGGTAACGAATCCCCTTGCTTGCTACCAACTACAATTGTACAGCGCGCAGTAATTTATGCGTAAGCACGCGCTGTTTGGCGCTACATTGTGACGTCATGTAAACAACTCTTTAAACGTCTGTACAGCGTTAACCACTGAATTAAAGATATTGGTGTTCAGATTAATTTTCTTAGTTAGACCATTTTCTATCATGCTAGATAGTTTTCAAAACAATATTCAAGAAAAAGTTGTTTTGTATTTATCAGATTTTTCAAACAAAACGGCGAAAGAAGTCCCTTAAAATAAATATGAGTTTTGAGTGCGCCCACTTTCATATTTATATTTCATATTTATTTTTAAAAAATATGAAATATATTTGACTGATATAGCACCATATTTCATGGGTAAAATTAAATAAACCTGTCTATTTTTCCTAATAAGAGAAGTCACTTTTTTCTCAGTTTTCTTGTCTAACTTGAACTTTTAATCTCCATTTTCAAATGTCAGCGTAAAAAAAAACAGGAGAAAAAAACAAACTTTCTGTTAGTTTGAAGTATTTGCATGCATAGCACCATGATCCCAATTTATAACACATATTGAAATGTTTTTCATTGTATCTTCTGTTAAAGTCGATATATCGTCGAAATTTGTCTCTTGATATATCGATAAAAAATCAATGACAGCCCTAGTTGGCAGTATTTATACAGCTTTCTTGATAGTACTCAACTTTTCAATACAATTTTCAAAACTGCCTTTTTTTTGTCATGTCCACTTACCTGGATAGTTCTTAACCCTTACTACACGAAATATTTTTAACGGACTTGTCCAACAATACCTTAGAAAATTTCAAAGTATGTACTGACTGTGTAGCAAACAGTGCAGACACTGATCAGACAACACAGATGTGCCAGCTGATCTTGGTCTGCACTGGTTGCATGGGTAAAATTCTGTGGGTAAAAAGTACATATTCTTGTAGATGATTTAAATTTTGCAGATTTTTTTAATGAAATAAGTTGTTGTACTCAGTGAGAAATGTGTATATATTCATTAAAACTATGTTATAGACATGTTGATGTTCACATATGTGTATATATTTTCTATGTTCAACATATGTTCACACATGTGTATATATCTCTATGTTCAACATAATTGGCTTTATTTGTGAATTTAGTGTAGATACACAAAATTTATGTACCTGTGATAAAGTTGAGTTTCTATAAAATTAAAAGATACATGTCTGCAGGCTTTCTCTGCAGTACCTTGATGCTTCTGTAATTTCTAAATATATTTATAACTTTGCAATTATTATTTCTTTATTTTACAATAGCTTTAAAAGTACTTACCAATGGACCTTTCCGTCTTTTCATAGCGGAACATTTAGCCACACCTTTTCCATTCATTGCTAGGTTAACTGCTCACAAACAGTATCACAAACATAAGCACGTGTTATTTTGTGCAAACAAGGTCAACCAGTGACTATGTATTATCTCAGTGAAGCGATTGGATAACAAGTTAGCCAATTTACATAAAACTGTAAACACCGGAAAGGTCCATACTATATCATTTCCATTTAATGCCCTCGGGAGCTTCCATTTTTTTCAAAAGGGAATGAGGGGGGGGGGGGCTTATTTGAACTTTAAAAATGTGCTTTGAAATATGTTTTGTATTACAAATCAAAAATCATTATTCATTATTATGAACTAATGTATAATACAGGATTTTTTTAAAATGATTTTACATTACTGGAGTGTCATTAATTGTTATTTTTTTAAATAACAATATTGGTATGTTTGGTTTGCTCTTACTTAATGGATTATAAATCTATAAGGTAAGGGTTTTCTTCTACAAAATGTGGCTGAGGGGGGGGGGGGAGAGATAATTAAAGGGTGGCGTTAAATAGAAGCAATATGGTATGCAAAAATATATTGTTACAACTAATAAAAAAAAGATACAAAGATGAAAGATGAAACTGTCAAATCAATAAATTCTCTTCACTGATCTTTCAAAGATCAATTAATAGAATAATATTAGGGGATTGATTACCTAGAAATATACTCTGAATTAAATTTAGAATCTATATTTTTTGTGCTTTTTAGTCCTTGAATCAAATTTGAGTATAAAGTGTTATAATGATAACATTAAAAAGGATTATTCTAAAAACACAGATGTAACGATGGATCTGAATTTGTGCTCACAAGTATCTGAAATTGTGCTCACAATTATGGTATAGACCTACATCAGATTGTATAAAACACAAAAATTATTTCCAGTCCAAATCATGTAAAAAATGTGGAGTCCCTTGTAATAAGTTTGTTTTCATAGGAGCTAAGACCCTATTAATCATCTAGGTTCATGTAAATGTGTAAACTTGTGTAGTAATTCTATCTATTCATGTCATCATTGTGTTTTTAAAGAGGTCAAACTAGTGTGCATTGGATAGAAGCTTTAATTTCTAATATACATGTATTATTTAGTATGTGTACTACATGTACTTTAACAGTGTTATATTGTATTATATACATGTAGCATTTGTAGATTTACAAGTTTAATTTAGCAAGAAAGAAATACCCAGTTAAGATAAGTGTTTATTAGTTAAAGCGACATAAAAGTACTTGTGCCAGTCATTTTAATTATACATGGCAAGATTGTATATGCTATGCCAAGTTAAAAATGAAGACAGATTTATCTTAGTCAAAGAAGAATATTGGTACTTGTTATACTAAACATGAACTGTGTCACTTTTGAATGTTCAAAGAATTGTACATTTGTACATCATACAGTAATTGTTGTTAACTGTTTGTGTGTGTATTGTTGATTCTGTTGCATTCAGTTTGTAACACTTTCTTAGATTTGATATTTCAGTGGAAGGGTGGGGAGGGGGGCATTGTGGCTGAGTGGCGAAAGTTGCTGCCTTCCTAAACATTCGACCCGTAACCTTACCACAGTGAAGAGTAATCTGTCACGAAATTTAGAGTCTTTCATGCAAGGAGGCTATCCAACACACTTACAGAAAAGTTGATGGTTTTACGCAGGCACCAACTGGTGCATGTATTAATTTACTCATGTGTCCACAAGAGTTCCTCCATCTGTAAAGCTAGAAAATCGTCATGTGATCTTTTCAGTCTCACTGTGAGTTAAAACCCTCAGACCAAATTATTAAAGAAATAAATAAACATTTAACCTACTGAATTTGAGGTATGTATTCGTCCTGCTTTGAATTTGGAACAGTCCATTCAGAGGTTAAGGGATTTCATTGTCAAAATGCAAAAAACTGATCAGCCATCAGTATAGAGTCTGGTCAGACAGCATGTATGTGCAAGCTAATACCAGGCTGTATACTGGTAGCAACAATTGATCACTTTTTTTCCATCAGGTGGAAAGATCAAATTTGCTATTATAAAGTACGCAATCAAGTTTTGTCATTTTGCCAGTTTTAAATCATTGATTTTATATTGATTAACCTATAGCTGGGTGCATTAGGATAGGCTATTGTAAGTTCAAAAGTTTTAATAGCTTTATGTAACATTTTATTTGCTAAATGGCACCAGCTGAAATGATCATTTTGTAAACATTTTCTAACATTTGTGTATACATGTATATCTTTAGAAATTCAGGTTTATAGAAATATAAAAGTACATTTCAATTTTTTATGGAATATTTTTTGTAGAAAAAAAATCTGCATTAAGAGAATATTTTGCTATAATATTTTTTGTATGTTACATTATGACATACCAATAGAGTCACCATTTTGCCAAAAAGTTGACCAAAAAGAATCTCTCATGATATCCATTTTAGGTCTGGATTTATCACATTGGCAGTGTCATTATCTTCTTAAAGTGGCTTCACTGTGCTTGAAAAAGAGTATAATATATAATTTGAAAAATCTTACATAAATCAACTGGGGGAAATGGAAAAAGATCATTAAAAAAAATCTATATTTGAAGTTAAATTTAAAATCCAAATTTGTGCGATTTTTAGGCTGATTTAAGTTTAAAGCATAGTAAAAAAAAGTATTATTCTGGAATAAGGTGGTTAGCAAATGATCTGAAATTTTGTCAACTTATTATTGTTAAAGACATTCAGCAAATAGTATGTATATATCTCAAAGAAAAGCTATTTCCAGTACTGTAAAACAAACCTGAGTGAAGTCCCTTTAAGATCATAATTTGTGTTTTATTTTATTTCATTGATCATGAATACTGCAGTAATATCAGGTATTCTGTACACATCACACCTGTTTTATATTGTTTGAAATGGACACCATACCAATAATATATATTTATAATACAGCATGTCTGGGACATGAAATTTTTCATTGGAAAATTTTTACATCTATATTTAGTATATTCATGGCTGCAGTAAATTTATGACGTAATTTTCTCTCTTTTTTCCCCCCTCTTTATGAAGGACTTAAGCTGTACTATAAATTTGTTATAAAAGTTTTAAACCTTATATGGCAATGATTGAACAGTTGTTCAAATAAATGATAGAGAGGACATTTATAAGCTTTATAGCTTTCTGCCCAATCCCAAAATGTACTTTGTAAATATTGTTCACTTGTTAAATGTTTTGTCGAATAAATATGTTTAAACCAAACCAAATAAATGATAAACAGTAGGTGGTTTTCATAAAAGATAAAAAAAATGCTATGTGGTTTTCACAATGATTTATATACAGTAAATGGTTTTCACAATAAATGCAAGGTGGTTTTCACAATAAATTATACATGCTAATTGGTTTCACAATAAATGATAAACACTAGGTAATTTTCACAATGAATGATAAACACTTGGTGGTTTTCACGATAAAAGATAGAAAATAATTGGTTTTCACAATAATTGGTATAAAAGAAGTGGTTTTCACAATAAATGATATAAAATAAGTGATTTTCAGAATAAATGATGTAAAAAAAGAGGTTTTCACAATAAATGATATAAAATAAGCAATTTTCACAATAAATGATGTACAAAAGGAAATTATCACAATAATTGATATGATATATTTGTGTGTATGTATTTCTTCTATTCACTATTATAGACTAAACATTTTGTCAGGATTGGTACATTTATTGAGAAAGTATTGACAAAGTTATAAACTTGATCCTGTTATTAATTGATGTTCTTGTATATTTAAAACTATTGGACTTTATTTATTTTTGTTTTTGAAAACAAAATATCTATATTTAGTTTGTAATGTCATGGTTTGAACAGGCGCGACCAAACCCTTATCTTACTTTCAATTTGATTAAATTTGATGCTTTTCAAGTGTGTGGGTTTTTTAGGGGGAGGTGGGTTGGAGGAGGAGAATTTGGTGTGGTAGGGTTATACTATTTTGTAATAGTAAAATGTGAAAATATCACTGTCAATTATGTTCTAAATGAGATGTTATTTGGTGTTGTTTTGATGAGAATATTTATGATTGTTTGATTGTTATTATGTTGTGTATACTGTGAATGTTACTGCACTGAATCATGATAAAACATGAATATATTATATAGTGAGTCATAAAATTGTTAAATTGTTAAAATTGTGTTGTTTCTTTTCTTTTTAGCTCACCTGTCACAAAGTGACAGGGTGAGCTTTTGTGATCGCTTTTCGTCCGGCGTCCGTCCGTCCGGCGTCCGTCCGTAAACTTTTGCTTTAAATGACATCTCCTCATAAACCACTGAGCCAATTTCATCCAAACTCAACAGGAATGTTCCTTTGGTGGTCACCTTTGAAAATTGTTCAAAGAATTTAATTCCATGCAGAACTCTGGTTGCCATGGCAACCGAAAGAAAAATCTTTAAATATCTTCTTTTAAACAACCCTAAGAGCTAGAGCTAAGATATTTTGCATGAGACATCTTCTAGTGAGTGTCTACCAAGTTTGTTCAAATTAAAGCCCTGGGGTCAAAATTGACCCCGCCCCGGGGGGTCATTGATTTTCCCTATATGCATATAGTAAAAACTTAAAAATCTTCTTTTAAAGAACCATAAGAGCTAGAGCTAAGATATATGGCATGAAATGTCTTCTAGTGAATCTCTACCAAGTTTGTTCAAATAAAAGCCCTGGGGTCAAAATTGACCCCGCCCCAGGGGGTCATAGATTTTCCCTATATGCATATAGTAAAAACTTAAAAAGTCTTCTTTTAAAGAACCCAAAGAGCTAGAGCTAAGATATTTAGCATGAAACATCTTCTAATGAGTGTCTACCAAGTTTGTTTAAATAAAAGCCCTGGGGTTAAAATTGGCCCCGCCCCGGGGGTCATTGATTTTCC